ATCAACACCCATAAATCAAAGGCATTTCTGTATATCAATGACAAATCCTCTGAAAGGGAAATAAGGAAAACTACCCCATTTACAGTAGCCTCAAAAAAATACTTGGGAATTAATCCAATGAAAGAGGTGAACTCTACAATGAAAACTACAGAATGCTAAAGAAAGAAATTAAAGAAGACCTTAGAGGATGGAAAGATCTCCCTTGTTCTTGGATAGGCAGAATTAATATTGTTAAAATGACCATACTACCAAAAGCACTATACAGATTTAATACAAATCCAATCAAAATCCCAATGACATTCCTTATAGAAATAGAAAAAGTCATGAAGCTCATCTAGAAAAATAAGAGACTCAGAATAGTCAGAGTTAAATAGTTAATAGTTAAATCCTTAGCAAGAAGAGTGAAGCAGATGGCATCACTATACCAAACCTTAAACTATACTACAGAGCAATAGTAACAAAAACAGCATGGTATTGGCACCAAAATAGACTGGTAGACCAATGATACAGAATAGAGGACACAGAGACTAGCCCACATAATTACAGTTATCTTATATTTGACAAAGGTGCCAAAAATGTATATTGGAGAAAAGATAGCCTCTTCAATAAATGGTGCTGGGAAAATTGGAAATCCATATGCAAATCCCTATTTCTGACCATGCACAAAACTCAACTCAAAGTGGATCAAGGACCTAGGAATTAAACAGAGACACTGTGTCTATTAGAAGAAAAAGTAGGCCCAAATCTCTATCATGTCAGATTAGGCCCCAACTTCCTTAATAAGACTCCTATAGAACAAGAATTAATACCAAGAATCAATAAATGATAAAAGCTAGTAAGCATGGCCAAACCTAAGTACAAGTAAGGAAAGTGGTTTTAGATGACCTAATATGTGTACCTACAAATAAGGAAGAATCAGAATTTAATACACTTCTTGGCACTTAGATCCATCTCTCAAATTTGGATGAAGAAGAATATAATTTATCTATTTTGATTAACTAATGATAGATAGAAAATGGTTCTTTCTAAGGGTGCACAGATATAAAATGAATGGTTGTAATATTATATGATAAATTATTTACAAAGTGACCACAATTATTCTATTATCTATAATCTACTCTATGTATCTATACTTTTTTATTTTTTTATTTTTTTAGTTGTAGATGGACAAAATACCTTTATTTTGTTTATTTATTTATTTTTTATGTGGTGCTGAGGATGGAACCCAGTACCTCACACATGCTAGGTAAGCGATCTGCCACTGAGTTACAACCCCAGCCCTGTATCCATACTTTTGAAAATGTGACTTTGAATCTCCTCTCATAAAGACATAATGCCTATATCCTCATCACTTAACTCTGAGTCAGCATTACTACTTACTTGGGGAAATAAAACAGGTCTGGTCCTCATAAGACTGTGTTTCTTCACTCTCACTGGAAACATTTCTGTCATGTCACAAGCATAAGCTAAACAGTACAAAAGAAATAAAACTTAAAAAGTTAAGTATGAGAACCCTGATGGCACATGTTTGTAATCCCAGTGGCTCTGGAGGCTGAGGCAGGAGGATCTCAAGTTCAAAGCCAGCCTCAGTAACTTAGCAAGATTCGCTCAAAATAAAAAGGGCTGGGGGAAGTGTTTCTCAGTGGTTAAACACCCCTGGGTTCAATCTCAGTTACCAAAAATAAATAAAAATAAAAAATAAGCATGAGCTAGGGTTGCTGCAATATGAGAGATGTATTAGACTAGGTTCTCCAGAGAAGAACCAATACCAATAGAACCAATAGGATAGATAAGCAGGTAGGTAGGTAGGTAGGTGGATGGATAGAGAGATAGATAGATAGATAGATAGATAGATAGATAGATAGATAGATAGATAGATAGATAGATAGATAAAGAAGATTTATTAAGGAACTGAGGAGGCTTAGAAGTCCCACAACAAGCCATTTGTAAGCTGGAGATCCTGGAATGCTGGTAACATGGCTCAGTCCAAGTCTAAAAGCCTAAGAACCAGAAAAGAAGTCAATGGTGCAATTAGTCTGCAGTCAAAGGTCTGAGCGTCTGGGGGTTTGCTAGTGTAAGTTCCAGAATCCCAAGGCTGGACAGCCTGGGTTCTGATATCCAAGGGCAGGAGGAAAAGAGTGTCCTAGCTCCAAAAGAGACAGACAGAAAAATCTTTTTCTCCCCTTTTTGTTCTACCCAGGCCCTAGCTGATGGGAGAGTACCCACCCACATTGAGGGTGGATCTTCCCTACTCAGTACAATAACACATCAACCCCCTTTGGAAACAACACACACACACATACAGAAATAATGCTTATTATCCTCCAAGTGTTCCTTAATTAAGTCATTTGATGCTTGTGCTTTCAGTGTCAAGTAAGAACCAATTGCAGAAACAAAGGTCATAAAGACTTATTCCTTTGTTTCTTTTGTCCAAAAGTTTTATGGTTTTAGCTCTTACCACCATTTATTAACAGGACTGTGCCTTTTCCCCAGTGACCAGTGTTGGTACTCTTGCCAACGAGCAGTTGTATATATATTTCAGTACTCAATTTGATCCCATTGATCTATATGTCCATGCTTATGCCAGTATTACTATCTTGATTATCTTCCGGATGGATTGTTCCTCTTTATCTCTAGTAGCATTTTTTTTTTTTTTTAGTTTTAACATACTCATTTTCAGACGTTAGTCTAGCTAATCCAGCTTTCTTGTGGTTGCTGTCTCTATGGTTTATCTTTTGCCATCCCTTTTTGTTTGTTTATTGGTAATGGAACCCAGGGGTGCCCTACAATTGACCTACATCCCCAGCCCTTTTTTATTTTTTATATTGAGACATAGTCTCACTAAGTAGCTCAGGCTGGCCTTGAACTTGCAATTCTTCTACCTCAGCCTCCTGAGTAGCTTGTAGTGCAGGTGTATGCTCCATGAATTTTTATCTTTGACTCTAAAGTATGTCTCCCTGAGACACCTATAGTTGGATTTTGTTTATTAATTCAGTCAGATAATCTGTCTTTTGTTTGCATTTAATATTATTCCTGATACAGTTAATTTTCCCCTGCTATTTTACATTTTGTTTCCTATATCTCATATGTCCTTTTTTTAAAGATTTTTTTAGTTGTGGATGGACACAATACCTTTATTTGTTTTGATTTTTATGTGGTGCTGGGGATTGAACCCAGTGTCTCACATGGTAGGCAAATGTTCTACCACTGAGCCACAACCCCAGCCCCCTCACATGTCCTTTTTGCTCTTATATTCATCCTTTACTACTTCCTTTTGCAGTAAGTGAATATTTTCTAAAGCAGCATTTTAATTCCTTTATTTTTTCACTATATTTTCTTGAGTTACTTCTTTAGTGGTTTCTGTAGGGCTTGTACCATATCTCATCAAAAACAATCTCTAATTTATGTTAATTCCATTGAGACACTGAGCTATTAACTTGTCCTTTATGGTGTTATTGATATACATATTAAATCAATAAATTCTATAAATCCAAAAATACATTGACATAATTAATATTCCATATGATCTTATGTACTTTAAAGAAGCCAAGAGAAGAGAAGAATAAATAATATTGACCTTTTCATTTGCCATTTCTAGTCATCTTCATTTGTTCCTGTGGTTTCAAGTTACTATTCAGGGTCATTTTCCTTAATTCAGTATGACATTGCTCACATCCACTCCCTTTATTTTTTGAAAATATATTACACTTGTATATATTATATAGACAATAATACACATATTATTTTATGTAATTGCTTTTTAAATCAGTTAAAGAAAATAAATATGCTCTAACCTGGTCTTTTGTAGCTGCATAATTATCTTCAACAGTGTACTTTGTTAATATTATTTATTTTTTGAAATTTATGATTTGAATTACTGTCTATAGACATTTGCTTTCAGCCTGAAGAACTTCTTTTCATTTTTCTTCATTCTTCTTTTTTTCTGCTTCTTAAATTAGGTTATCTCAATTGACTTATCAGCAAATTCACTTTGCCATTCAAACTACTGGTCAGCCCTCTATTGAACTTTTCATCTCAGTTATTGTAATTCTCAATTCCAGAATTTCCATTTGGTTTTTTTTTTGTTTGTTTTTGGGTTTTTTTTTTTTGTTTTTTTTTTTTTAGAGTGGAAAGTAGAAGCTTTATTAAAGGACAGTAGAAAAGACTTCTCCCCGGAAGAAGAAGACGACCCAATTGGTAGAATCCTCCATTTGGTGCTTTGTACTTTCTATCTCTTTATAATCACAGCCTTGAGGTGTTTGTTAAATTCCTCATCTAAAATAATCCAACCAGTCACTAAACAAAGAAGCAAGTAATAACAAGTACTTGGTGTGGGGGCAATACCCAGAGTTGCTGCGATATATTATCAAGGATTTCCATTTTAAAAAAAATATATATATATATATATATTTAATATGCTCTCACAGGCAGTTTCTGTTGCCTGTTTTTTTCTGGTGTACATGGGTCATAATTTCCTTTTCTTCGCATATCTCATTATTTTTTGTAGCAACTCTGGGTATTGACCCCCTTCTCCAAGTGTTTGTTATCAATTGCCTGTTTATTGACTAGCTGGATTATTTTGGTGAAGTTTATCCTGCCCCCAGTGCAATGTAAAACCTTTGATGTTATTCGGTAAGGAGCGCAGACTTGAGTAGGACCACAGTCACCCTGGGATGACACTGGTTTGACAGAGCTCCCTTTGTCTGTTTCCCTGACAAGCCTAGCTGTCTAATTCCAGAATTACTGGCTGACTGCTCTATTGTTCTTCACAATGTCCTGGGGCAATTGCTTTCCACCAGACTTTCACTGTTTTTGAGACTACCCTAAGCCTTGAATTTTTCCATTCTTTATTGCAAACAAAGTCATGAAATTCAGAGTTCTTTGTTTTATGGCTTACTTCTCTTCAAAGACAAAATCTCTGAGCCTTGATTCTAGAGCTGGGACCAGGGGCAATGGCACAATATTCTCAGAGTAACACGCCTATTATAGGAGCTAAGTACCTGTAAAAGGAAAGAGTAGCTTTGGGTCTTCTCAGCTTGCCTCTGCCAGAGTGGACCACACATGGATTACAACCCATGCAAGGATGATCAGGTCCCAGTATACTCAACGATGCCACATCGAGAGTGGAGCTTCCATTCCATGAGTGAGGCCTGAGAGGAAGAAGGAATTATAACAGTGTTCCACTTTATGCTATAGCCCTTGCTGCTCTGCCACTGTGCTTTTTTTTTTTTTTTTTTTTTTTTTTTTTGGTACCAGAGATTGAACCCAGAGGTGCTTGACTCCTGAGCCACATCCCCAGCCCTTTTCCCATTGCTCAGGGCCTCACTAAATTGCAGAGGCTGGCTTTAAACTCACGATCCTCTTGCCTTAGCCTCCCAAACTGTTTGGATTACAGGCACATGCCTTTGAGCCTGGCTGCAATTTCTTTTTAAAAGGACATGTTTCTCTTCCTCTCTGTCCTCCTCCCTAATCTCTCTCCCTCCTCAGGGAAACAGGATTACCTTTCTTCCCCATCCTAGGCAGAGTAATAGAGTTATGTCCTTGAGCACACACCCATCACAGACTTGGGGATGGCACCCACAAGATCTCAGAAATTATTATCTCCCAAATTAACAAGTGAATTACAACTCCAGAGAACACATGGAATGTAGCCTTCAAATCACCTCTTTAAAAACCCCTGTTCCCCCTGATGGGCAGAATCACAGCCTCTAGGACAGGAGTCTCCTGGGTTTCTCTTTTGCTAGCAAAGCAATAAAATGTCTTTTCTTTTTCTCAAAACTGTGTCCTCCTTATTGGATTGGGATTGGGGACAAAGACTGAGCTTTGGATAGCAATCTCCGATCTCTTAGCCACACTACCCAGAAATTTGCTATAGCAACAAGTGGCTGGGGGCAGGATAAAAAAATGCTGGTGTCTTGAATTCTCCTAAAAATAGCCCTAATAGAAGGTAGAGGGGGAAGGATTTCTGTGTTCTTTGTTGCACAAGGCCCTGTGGGAGTTTCCATTTTGCAAAAGCAGGAAGAGAGAAAGAAAGACTCAATCTCAGTTCAAATATTACAGAATCTTAACTCTCACAGGTTTTTGTTGTTGTTTTATTGTTTGGGTGTTTTTTTTTTTTTTTTTTGTACCAGGTATTGAACTCAGGGGCACTTGACCACTGAGCCACATCCCCAGCCCTATTTTGTATTTTATTACAGACAGGGTCTCACTGATTGCTTAGCACCTTGCTAATGTGCTGAAGCTGGCTTTGAACCTACAATCCTCCTGCCTCCACCTCTGGAGCCACTGAGATTACAAGCATGCGCCACTGCGTCCAGCTCTTGCTGTTTTTTTACTGTTATTTTATTTTTATTTAGTTTTTACTAGTGCATTATAATTACACATAATTGTGGAGTTCATTTTGACATATTCACAAATGGACATAATATTGTTTGCTCCATTTCAATTCCCAGTACTTCCTCTTTTCCTCTCCTCTCCGTCCCCCTCACCTCCTTCCTCTACTCTATTGGTCTTCCTTCTATTTATCTTTTTTAATTGATACATTTTCACTAAGTTTTAGTAGATGTTCTTGAATAAGTATTTCTTCATTTGCTGTTTGTCTTTAAGACCATTTCTAGAGACTTTAAATGGTTGTTTAAGATTTATGTTATACTGGGCATGGTGGCACATGCCTGTAATACCAGGGACTAGGGAGGCTTAAGGAAGGAGCCAACATTAGCAATTTAGGCCCTAAGCAATTCAGCTAGACTAAGCAATTTAGCAAGACTCTATCTCAAAATACAAAATAAAAAAAGGTTGTGGATGTGGCTCAGTGGTTAAGCTCCCCAAAATTAGAAAACTTACGGGGTAAAAATGGGAGTTTATAACCCACTTGAATCAAAGTGTGAAGTATGATATATCAAGAACTATGTAATGTTTTGAACAACCAACAATAAAAATTTTAAAAAAAGAAAAAAAAATTCAATGAATTAAAAAAAAAGAATATTTTAAAAAAAAGATAGCCCACAACTCAGCTTGAATTATTCTTTATCAAACATGGAATATAATCAGGTGAATTTTTCTCTAACATGAAAGTGTATTAAATAAGTTTTATGCCTTTCCCACTAACTGTAGTGTTCTAGGCTACATATGTTGTGATACTAAATATTATATTCATGTTTTAGGACTGTTAAAAAATTTAGAAACTTTCATTTTTTTCTTTCACTCTTTCTGATTATCAATTTGAGTTCCCTAAAATTTGTTCCAAAGAGTACAGATTCATGACCCAGCTATCCCTCTCCTTGGTCTATACCCAAAGGACTTAAAAATAGCATACTACAGGGACACAGCCACATCAATGTTTATAGCAGCACAATTCACAGTAGCTAAACTGTGGAGCCAACCTAGATGCCCTTCAATAGATGAATGGATAAAAAAAAATGTGGCACATATACACAATGGAATATTACTCAGCAATAAAAGAGAATAAAATCATGGCATGGAGTTAGAGAACATAATACCAAGTGAAGTTAGCCAATCCCCAAAACCCAAATGCCGAATGTTTTCTTTGATATAAGGAGGCTGATTCATAGTGGGATAGGGAGAGGGAGCATGGGAGGAATAGACGAACTCTAGAGAGGGTAGAGGGGTTGGAGGGGAAGGGAGGGGGCATGGGATTATTAGTGATGGTGGAATGTGATGATCATTATTATCCAAAGTACAGGTATGAAGACACTAATGGTGTGAATATACTTTGTATACAACCAGAGATAGGAAAAATTGTGCTGTATATGTGTAATAAGAATTGTAATGCATTCCGCTATCATATATAAATAAATTTTTTTAAAAGAAAAAAAAAGAAAACTTTGATTTATAAAAACATTTGAATGAAGCTTAATTCCAAAAATAGCAAAAAAATAGCCATTTTCTGCATTATAGAGAAAAAGTATTGCCACAATTCACAGTGGCAAGCAAGACTTAAGATATGGCTTTAATTAATAGGATCCATCATTACATTTGAAAATAATCATTTCATGAAAACTCAACTTGCTACAGAGCAAGATCCCGTTTTGCCAGACATTTTGGCCAGAAAGTGAGAGAAAAGAGAGTGGTATTTTCACATCTAAAAACATCCTTACTTCAATTTCCAGAGTCTGAAAATATAGACTATCTGAGATGCTTTACCCATGATGCAAATAAAATGTCAAAATCACTGAACAGGAAATTAATTGCATTTAACCACCCATAGAATTTTCCAATGAAGAGAGCTAAAGAATCCAACAGCACTCTACCCTGAATTTCTTCCATCTTTTCTTGACTTCTAAGAGCAGCCACTCCTGGGATCTCTCAGTCTGACAATTAACTTCTTTACTACAACATATTCAAACTGTTTTTAAAAATAAAATCTGCAGCTAAATGTTCTGTGCCCTAGGAAATGCTAAGTCTAATTTTTGATTTATAAAGACCTTAATTACAACAACTAAAAAAATGTTGTAAATACCAGCATGTCAGGGAAGAAGAATGACCAAAAATGAGGGGAAAATAACTATTCAGGCAAACACACCTGCTGACCTCTGGCACCTGGGTCAGCAAGGAAGCTAGCAAACCCAGTTCTCAGGAGCAGACACTTTAAATCAGTGATAATAGATTATTGCAACAGGCTGGTTCACATTTCTAAAACAGTCTGAGAAAGTAGCTTCAAAAATATCTATGTAATTGGGTCTTGCCTAAAGGTGAAATAATGATATATTTCATATGCATATATTTCACTGCACAAACTTCATGTATAGCTGGGTGTAGCGGCGCATCTACTAAGGAGGCTGAGGCAGGATTACAAACCAGAAGCTAGCCTCAGCCACTTAGCAAGACCCTGACACAAAATGAAAAATAAAAAGGATTAGGGATGTCGCTCAGTGGTAAAGCATGCATGACAGGGCTCAATCCCTAGCACTGCAAAACAACAACAACAACAACACTTCACATAATTTATGCTTAAGTTAAATATGTACCTTTCCTTCTTATCCTGCACCTCCACTTTTAGCCCAGCTACTTCCCTTTTATGGTGGGCAAATTGATTTGGGTCCTTAAAGATCCAGATCAAGCTGGGCACAGTGGTGCATGCCTGTAATCCGAGCAGCTCAGGAAGCCAAGACAGGAAGATCATGAGTTCAAAGCCAGCCTCAGCAATGTAATAGGCCCTAAGTAATTCAATGAGACCCTGTCTCTAATTAAAATGCAAAATAGGGCTGGAGATGTGGCTCAGTGGTGGAGTGCCCCTGAGTTCAATCTCTAATACTCCCACACCCCCCTCAAAAAATTCGCATGGTTAATAAAATAATTGTAAAATATTTAAAATCTAGACACTAAAGGTATTCATTTTGTGGCAGTGGCAACATGAGAAGAGTTGTTTATTATTTGTAGAACACAAATTCTTCATTACTGAGAGTCTTTTAGATCTCTAGGATGCTTTTCTATTAAAGTCAAAGACAAAAAAAGCAATGTAGCTTCTGTGGCTGAAGACTCATGAGATGATCAGTTATTGAAATGGAAAGTGACTCACATGTCTCATTCTCCCTTCCCATAAAAACAAATGTGGATACTATAGATTATAGTGTTTTCTTCCGGTTTCAGCCAGCATGAGCATGGTAGCTGCTTGCAATAGGGAATGTGGGAAGCTAAGGGGGTATTTGAAAACATTGACACCATCTACTCTACAAAGAGCTCCCATAGTCTACCAGGCCTCCTAAATATTAACACTTTCTCATGCTTGCTTCCTTGTTCTCACTGTCTTTCTCACTGTTTGTTTGTTAATTGTTATTGTGGTAAAATTCACTTAACATAAAATTCTCCATTTTAGATGGCAATTCTGTGACCTGTAGTACAGTCACAAAATTGGGCAACCATCACAACCACCTAAGTCCTTTTTCTCATCTCCAAAGGGAACCCTTTACCCAACACGTCATTTCCCATTCTTCCTGTTCCCCAGCCCCTAGCAACCATAAATCTTCTTTCTTGTCTTTATGGAGTTACCTATTACGGATGCTTCATAAAACTAAAATCATTTAATATGTAACCACCATTCTGCTCTGTTTGTATATATTTGACATTTTTTTAAGATTCAACATCTAAGTGAGTCATGCAGTATTTTTCTTGCCATGTCTGGCTTTTTTCA